AAGTAGCAAATTTGAAGTGTTTTTGAAATTTTCCATGTTGTCCATAGCAGTTGGTAGGATACACGCTACCATGCTAATGGTGAAATAGTTTCTGGGCAACAGGGCGGTAAAGTTCATCCATTCCGCCCAGAGATCGTATAGGTTGTCACGGATGATTTTATAGAAGATCTCTCGATCCGGAGACCTGCCTTTCAGCATACCGTAGATATATGGCCATGCGCCAAATTTAAGACGACGTTTATTCACACAACCCATTCGAAAACCCGTTTCATCTTTTTAGTTCTGACAGTCCCGTTCAGTACCCAGACTGAATGTGGTTTTCCTTCGCATGATCGTTCCGCTGAGCTCTGACAGATGAGCCGTTTACATTTGAGTCATCGCCTTCCAGCGGTCTTTACGCTGAGCGCCGCGGCAAAATAAAACTAGGAGTTTTACGGTTTGTAACATTATCGCAGGACTGGACGATTAATGCCTCCTTGACATGCAGTGCAGCTAGTGATTTCCTTTGATGAGGCAATTCATCTCTATCCATCAATTTAATGCTTTTTCGCTTACTGCACAATACCGGAAGTCTTGGCATCGTTCTTTGACTAGGGACGAGTCCTTGGTTCCTTCCAAAAGCGTTGTTATCACGCCTGCACAGCTTAACAAGTCAGTCTTTGTTCTTTGATTAACGGTGTCCCTTGTTTATCCTGTACAATATTTTCCGCAGTTGCAGTATGATTGCCAGCCTATGAACCAAATATTCTACCATCGATATATCTGATCGCACAACAGTTTGCTTAGATCATCATCTTCCTCATCCATGACCGCTTCTCCTTTCGGGTCGCACATGCGGAGGCAGATGCGCCACACAGTGCTTCCAACGTTCCCGATTCTGTGTCAGAGTCTGAGCTTCCGCAGAAGACAGCTGGAGTCTGGAGAGATTTGCACCAGGTTAATCTTGGCCGTCCCCTGAATTTTCTGCCGATGGGATTTGCAAGAAACAGCTGCTTAGCATTCCTTTCTGGAGACATTCGCCTGAACTATTGCAGCCGTAACTCAGTCTTAAGAAGCAGGGGCTGTACATCAAATGTCTCTTGGACCCTGTCCCCGATTCGCCGGTCGATCTCTTCCTCCAACTTTCCGTCATTAGTAAATATGGTTCCGAGGTACTTGAACTTCTCCACCTGCTACACTGCCTCTCCATTAATCTGAAGAGAGCAACGGGCAGAACAACGAGAGAGCACTAGGCTTTTCGTTTTAGATGCGTTCACACGCATGCCGATCACGTCGCATTCGGCTGCGAACCTTTCTAAAGCACTGAAAATCAGTTTCAGAAGATGCGAATAAAAAAAGGTCATCTGCAAATAGCAGCCTTCTCGACTTCACGTCTCCTACACCGATACCCTCATCGCCTTGGCAGCTCCTGACTATTCTATCCATGTACAACACAAACAGGATAAGGGACAGGACGCAGCCTTGGCAGTGACCAGTGCGAACGTTGAATGGTTTTGACTTAACTCCATTAACTCTGACGCAGCATCTGCTATTAGAATACAGTGCTGGATGGTCCTCAGCAGCTGGCCATCTATTTCATATGCTCACAGGAATGACCACAGGCTATTGCGTGGGATCCTGTCATAGACTTTTTCTAGGCTTACATCTTCATTGTGTAGGAAACTGGAAAAAGAAATGCGACGGCACTCCAGTGGTAAGAACGATCTAATCTTTCTCGTCATATGCCGAGAACTCGACCTAATCCTGGATACAGATGGCTTTCCAAACTTCAAACAAAAAGTCCTGCACTGAAGATCATTGAAGAAAGGTTGCTGAAACTACGTGTTTACGTTATGACAGCTGCAGATTGTCTTCAAATGTAAACCGT